TTAGCACCCTTGCTTATGCAGATGTAGATGTTTACCCTGTTCTCACCCTGAGTCTTGCTGGACTCCTATTGGGAGTCCATGGGAATTTAATGCTCTTGTGGACATTATCTGTGGATGGGTGGCCAGGAATGACCAACATGGTGCATGTCCATCATCCCGCCAGACTTCACAAACAGAAGGTTAAAGATGTAGTAAGTAATAATTTTGAGATGGTGTCAGTGGGGTATGAAGCCCTGTGGGGCCCAGGTACAAGGACAGTGCATTACAGAACCTGCTGTGTTGTGAGCTTCGTGAAGGCCACATGCAGACCGGGTGCACCTGTCCCGGGAGAAACTCGGTCCTTCTTGCCAACGCAGTAAAGGATTACAGGTCAAGTGTATTAGTATGCAAGCCGGGTTTATTAGGGACACGCTCTCATGGAAGAGGACAGGTCTTTTGTCCTGGGGATTTATGTAATGGGTGGGATAGGGGCAAAGAAGTTACATGTTGATTGACAGGTAAAAGTGGTGCCAGCTTCCAAGGGGATGGACTACCCAAACGTAGGTATGTATGGGGGGGTCTGTTAGCCTGAATCCTTATCTTGCTTCAGACCCCACTTGGCCATATTATAAAATAAATCCATGACAGGACACAGTTTAAGTTGAGGCAGTTACCCAAAGTTATCAATGGGCTCTTTCGGTAAGCACTAGGGACCCTCTCATAAAACAGATAGCAGACGGAGGAAAGCTATTAACCAAATTCGTTTTATGGGTCCTTTTCTTGAGTCTGTAGACCCCTTTCCACCTTCTAGGCCTTGGTATGAATACAGTTTGAAAGCCTTTCTTTCCTAGATAGTGGAAACAATAGCTAGAATTTCAACGTGTTAGCATGGTGTTTCTTATGATGCTGGAACATCTGGCAATAGAACTGGACCAGGCTCAGGATTGCTGAGTCAATGGGTGGCACATGTCTTCCTCATCCTCCCTGCCTTTGCTTCCCATCAATCCTAATACCCCAGTGCAGGCAGGTGCTGTTTCAGTGTCAGTTCTCAGCAAGGGGTGGGTGAGGGCCTTGTTTCACAGGTCACTCTCGGTACCACCTGCTTGTGTTGAGGAGGCTCTGAGGATGCCCAGGCTCAGTGAGAGGGTGGTGATCAGGAGGGAGGCACCTCCCCAACCTCACACTTCCTTCTCAGGGCAGTTGAGTCTATGTGGGGAAAGCAGTGGGGTCTACTCAAATTCTGAATTTGGCTACAGACCCCTACCCTGTCCTTAGCCAGGCTCACATCCATGCACAAGCACACATTCCTCCCTGCTGTTCACACCTCTGAGGCTCCGGAGGTTGTAGGAAACCAGAAGAGCCAAGAGAAGCCAAGGGAGGAGGGTAGGAAGCCTGTTAGGAGAAGAGGCCCCACTTCCCAGGAGTCCGGGGAATTCCCTTCACGATGCATCTGTCTCAAATCCTCTCTGGACAGTAACCAAAATAGATCAACTAATGGCTTATGCATTTGCAGTTGAATTTCTGTGGCTGAGAGTATGAGACTTTTGTGGCTCTTACAAGACCCTCTGCTTTCAGTGATGGGGGGAATGAGGGATGTAGGGAGACAAACCATTTTACAATAGGTGGTCAAAAAGCCATGAAGGAGACTGGTGCTGACATCCCCATCTCATCTCTTGTCATGGAAGTGGAGGGTTTAACAAGTTGCTTCTGTACTAATTAGAATCTTGAGGAGAGTAAGGGGCACTAGACTTCCTATGGCTATTGATATGCAACTTAATGGTAATGAGTCACTCAGTCCACCTGCAAACATAGGGCTTCTCCCTTGAGTGTGTCCTCTGGTGTGTGATGAGATTTGACTTCTGTGCAAAGCCTCGCCCGCACTCCCTGCAAACATAGGGCTTCTCCCCAGAGTGTGTCCTCTGGTGTGTGATGAGATTTGACTTGCATGTAAAGCCTCGCCTGCACTCCCTGCAAACATAGGGCTTCTCCCCTGAGTGTGTCCTCTGGTGTGTGATGAGATGTGACTTGCATGTAAAGCCTCGCCCGCACTCCCTGCAAACATAGGGCTTCTCCCCAGAGTGTGTCCTCTGGTGTGTGATGAGATTTGACTTGCGTGTAAAGCCTCGCCCGCACTCCCTGCAAACATAGGGCTTCTCTCCAGAGTGTGTCCTCTGGTGTGTGATGAGATTTGACTTCTGTGTAAAGCCTCGCCCACACTCCCTGCAAACATAGGGCTTCTCCCCTGAGTGAGCTCTCTGGTGTATGATGAGATGTGATTTCCGTGCAAAGCCTCGCCCGCACTCTCTGCAAACATAGGGCTTCTCTCCAGAGTGTGTACTCTGGTGTGTTATGAGAATTGACTTCCGTGTAAAGCCTTGCTCACAGTTCCTGCAAACATAGGGCTTCTCGCCAGAGTGTGTCTTCTGGTGTCTGATGAGATGTGACTGCTGTGTAAAGCCTCGCCCACACTCCCTGCAAACATAGGGCTTCTCTCCAGAGTGTGTCCTCTGGTGTATGATGAGACCCGACTTGCGTATAAAGCCTCGCCCACACTCCCTGCAAACATAGGGCTTCTCTCCAGAGTGTGTCCTCTGGTGTGTGATGAGATTTGACTTGCATGTAAAGCCTCGCCCACACTCCCTGCAAACATAGGGCTTCTCTCCAGAGTGTGTCCTCTGGTGTATGATGAGATTTGACTTGCATGTAAAGCCTCGCCCACACTCCCTGCAAACATAGGGCTTCTCCCCAGAGTGAGTCCTCCGGTGTGTGATGAGAACTGACTTCTGTGCAAAGCCTTGCCCACACTCCCTGCAAACATAGGGCTTCTCCCCTGAGTGTGTCCTTTGATGTGTGATGAGATGTGACTTCCAGGTAAAGCCTCGCCTGCACTCCCTGCAAACATAGGGCTTCTCCCCAGAGTGTGTGATGAGAACTGACCCATCACCGAAGCCTTGCCAACACCCTCCATGCTCAATTGTTGTAATTCTTGACATTCCTACTTCCACAAAGAACTTGCCTGTGTCCTCTGGACAGTCTTTCTGACCTCTGCGGGGCTCTTCCTCCATCAGTCTCTCGTGCTCACTAGAGCTCCTCATTCGTTCTTTGGAAGGTTGAAAGGGTCTTGAGATTCTCCTCTGACTGATCCTTTTAAGCAAAGGTTTGGACCCTTCTTTGACCTTTTGACCTTCAGCTGTATCATTCCAGCTGTGTGTACTGGTATGTTGCTGCTGCTGATTCTGATCCCCTGGACAGGGTTCCTCTGCTTGGAGGTGTTTTCTTGCAGATGTTCCCTGGAGAATCTGAGAGGGATGACTGAGTTTCACGTGTCGGCTGAGTAAGTTCTGACTGGAGAAGGCCAGAGAGCAGGAGGGACATGGGTGCACCTCTGGCTTTGGTTCTGCTGAAAGAGAAAGGTTTGGTCAGGGCAGATGTTGGTGAGAATAACGGCCGTGATTAGTCTCCTGCTAACAACTGCCCCAGGAGTCCTTCTTACCGTGGTGGTAACACAACCTCTGTCTCCTACAGTGTCCACTACTGTCTATTTTCCTTTTTATTTTTATGCAGTGCCTCTTCTTCAGAATCCACAAAGCCCACATCAAGGGTCTTTTCTAAGATTGCCCAGACTAGGGACTTTCGAGGAGAATGAGAGGCCATTTTACTCCCTGTGTGGATGGAACTGCAGTGACCTTTCCCATCTGTAGGTATCTTCTAAGTCATGGTGAAGAGGAAAACCACAGCCCCCAGGAATTGCTTCTCGATGCTTTCCAAAACAGTAAAGTAAAATGTCCTTCCTGCCCTTGCTCGTGTGGCTTGGTGGACTGAGTGGCAGCCTGCAAAGCAGGGAGTCGCAGGTTTCATTCCCAGTCAGGGCACGTGTCTGGGTTGTGGGCCAGGTCCCCAGTAGGGGGGTGTGAGAGGCAACCACGCACTGATATTTCCCTTTCTCCCTCTTCCCCTCTAAAAATGTTCTGCCTCAAGCCTAAATATTTATCCTTCATCTCATTCCTCTGGTGTCTGACGAGAAGTGACCTCTGTGTAAAGCCTCACCCACACCCCCTGCAAACACACGGCTTTTCTTCTCAGTGTGTCCTGTGAGGGCAGAGTTAATCCATTTCAGACACACTAAGAAGACATGTTTCATAATATTTCTCCAACCACACTTCTTATCACGCCTGACTCCTGTTCCTCTCTGGCCAATCCACCATGCTCTCTCACCCGGAGATGAGGTAATCTCTGTGGGGATTCCCCACTGGAGTTTATTTTATAAACATTAACAAAACATAATCAGAATAGAGAACACACCACTCTACAGCTGACAACTGCACACTTTACTCAGGAAAGTCCCCAGTGTCTCAGCTTGGGTCATCGGCACTGCATGTCTGGGCTGCTAAGCATCTGTCTGATCTCTGTTTTTATCCTCTGTGCTGAGACAAGACCTGAGGGACCCTCAGCCAAGTCAACGCTGCACCTCTTTTCTTCCCTGCACTAGCTGCTCCCTCTGCCTGGGATCCTCTGCCCCCAGGTCATTTTGTAAATGTTGTCTCCTGAGAGAGCCCTTCCCGGACCACCTGCCACACCCCACCTCCCCTCACACTGATCTTTGGGCCCTTGTCCTGCATTGGTTTTCTCCAAAGCACTAACTGCTGTGTAGTGTCACGCACACACAAGCACGTGTGCCTGAGCTTCCCTCCTTCACCCGTCAGCTCTTCAAGAGCAGTGACTCTGATCCTCATGTTAATCTGTGTCTCCAGGTCCCAGAACCCTGTGCACCAGAGTAGGATCTCTCATGACAATTCACTGAAACGATGAACGAATGCTCCCTGCCTGAATGGTGTGGCTCGGTGGGTTGCGGGTTGTCCCACAATGGAAAGGTTACAAGTTCAATTCCCAGTCAGGGCACATGCCAGGTTTAGGAGCCAGCTGGGGGTGTGCCATAGACAACCGGTTAATGTCTCTCTTGCATGTATTTTTTTTCTCCCTCGTTTTCACTCTCTGTAAAAATAAATAAAATCTTTACAAAATATATCTGATTTATTTATTTATTTTCAGAAAAGGAGGAAGGGAGGGAAGGAGGAGAGAAATATAAATGTGTGGTTGCCTCACATGTTCCCTACTGGGGACCTGGCCTGAAATCCAGGCCTGTGTCCTGATTGGGAATCAAACTGGTGATCCTTTGGTTCACAGGCCGGTGCTCAATCCACTGAGCCACACCAGCCAGGGCAAAAATCTTTAAAAAATAATCAATGCCTATAAAAAAAAAGTCTTATTTAAAAGTATGCAGGAAAGTTAAGAAGAAACAGCTATAAAAGTGTCAGAAAAACTGCCTTGGTGAGAACTTGTTAGTGCTTGAAAACTTTTTTTGCCTCTCAGCCTTTCAGCACTATTTGTGGTTGTTTATTTTGGGCATGAAATAGATAAAAAATGAAACATATATAAAATATTTGTCTAAGAGTCAAAGGCATATGAATGAATTGTGAATTTCTGAAGCATGTGATTTGAAACTTTACTGACTTTAGAGTGGACTTTACTCCACTTAAGAGTTGCATCACGAATATTTCTATGGAGAATTCTCTCTTTTCTTTCTGTTTTGAAGAACAGTGGTGCCCACCTCTTCCGGCCATGAGCTCTCTCTTCCACTTGCTGCCCCACTTGCTGCCCAGCTCCTGGCCATACTCGTCCCCACACCAGACCAGCAGCTCACAGCCCGGCCTGACGACCTGGCAGGTTCGGTAGAAAATCTGCCCGTGGTATTGAAAGGCCACCAGGTTCTGCTCTTCATCGTCCCGGGCACAGTTCACAAACCTGGGAGTGAGGCAGAGGAAGGGAAAGAAAAGCACAGTGATGAGTTCCCACTACCTGTTACATCCAGTCCAGCCCCTCACTGATTCTTAAGGCCCTCAGGCTCTGGTGCTGCCCACTGCCCCTAATGCTTCCGGGGAATCTTTGTTCAGTGTCTGAGCGTCTGCCAGCATGTCATGTGAATTCTTACGTCCGAGTCCTGTTTGCAGTGTTCATCCTGCCTAATACCATTTCCTAGAACCCAGTTCTACACTTAACCTGCACCCTGACTGGCCATAATATTCAGTGATCTCTTGCTTCTCCAAACTCTCAATCAAGTTGTCTCACACCACAGAACCTGGTCCTTGATGTAGGGCTCTGCTTCTGAATTAGCTCAGTAAGTATCCAGTCCTCAGCCCACATCTCTCTTTTTTTCTTTGGGGGAGAGGAGAGAGCTTTTGTGCGAGGGGGAGAGTATCCCTTGGGAATGGATTCGCGCACTGAGCTAACGGGTTTTTCTCTTGAGAAGCCTTTCTCCAACCCCCCTAGACTTTATTTAGGATACCATTCACTTGCCTGCCCAGGGTTACTGTAGAAAATTGAAGGTCTTTTTGTCTTAGTAAAATAAAACAGAACAATAGTAGTTGCTTCACATTCTGTTATCCCTGATACAAGAGAGCCCCTCTCAGGAAAGGGGCCATGACCGTTCCTCTGCAGGCCTCAGAGCCCAGCTCTAGTTGGAAGTGAGGCTGGGATGGTTTGCTGCCCTCACAGGTTTAGGCCACCCTTGGTTTGTGCTATCTTGACACTGTGCACTTCTTGGAAATTATAGTTAAATGCTTCTAAAAGCAATTGTTTTACGTCTGTCTGTGAGAAGTCCTCCATAAGGACATGGGTTGTGTGATCTGTTTAAGTAATGTATCCCTTCATCTAAACTGGAATATACTAAGTGCTTAATTAATGTTCATGTGATAAAGTGTAATCCAGTGTCCCTGGTGAATCTAGGCTCTTCAAGGACCTTTCTAGCACCCAGATTGTGTCTAGCAGACAGCTTTATATTTTGAGGACCTATGCTAAACTTTTTCCCTAAAAGTCCCCTGAAATGAAAGAACACTATGGAGAAAAAGAAGGAATAAAGGACTGAGGAAGACCACTGAGGGAGGCATGATGAGAGAGACAGATATAGGGGCTCATGGGGGATGAGAGTCCCCTCTGACACCCAGAGACCTGTTGACCTCACCTCATCCAGTTGGCCCAGGACCTGTCCTTTCCATCCACATACTCATAGCAGTTTCTCCCTTTGGCGATCTGTGTTTCACAAAAGAAGTTAAAGAACTTTTGTGTGTGTGTGTGTGTAGGTAATACTAAGAAGAATTATACTCTACTGTCAACAAAGCTCATTCCGCCTGCTTGGGGATTCAACTACCAGCTGTGACCATATGATATTTCTCTTACTCAGCACCTACACACCCGAGTCTACCTGTCCAATCACAGCAGGAGCCTCATAAGGGAGGAGCCACTCCTTTGTGTCTGCACCCCTTTGCTCCCACTTACCTTCTGATCGTTCAACAGGAGCTCTGTGTTCATGTGAAGTCCAGTCAGTACACAGAGCAAACCACATCATCCCCTCCATGTCTACCACGTAAGAGGTGAGGTCCCTCCAAGCCTCAGAAGGAATGTGGGAAGCCAGAGGACAGTGGAAGAGGTAAATAGTTCTCACCAGCCAGGAGTATCTGCTCTTGGCTGCCTCCTCATCTTCTGTGATGTGTCCTTCATAAGGGCCAAAGTGCAGACCCACAGGCAAATCAGCTGCCTCATTCCACACTCCAAGCCCAGCCTCAGGGATGCAGGATGGCCCGATTCTCAACCCAGGGGGCAGGGTGAGGGCTGAGCGGTGGGGATGCCCCTTGTCCACTGCACGGTCCTTTACAAATGCAGGGGGCCCATGCACAGCGCAGCTGTCGATGAAGAAGTTCTGACACTTCTCACAATCTGGAGAGAAAAATGACAGGGTTCAGGGAAGGTATAGCACATGTTCCTGGACACAAAGAGCTTCAGAGGCAGTCCAGCACTGACATCAGTGAGACTCAGTCCTGTACTCCAGGTCACTAAGGAAGGAGAATGACTTGGGGACCAAAGGACCAGATGGAATTATTGTATCATAACTTGCTTTTTAGTGAGGGTCACTTACAAAGGTAGTCATCATCCTCGGGTTCGTTGACCTCTTGGTGCACATGGCTCTTTCTTTCTTCTTGGCTGTACATCTCCACGTCCATCTCCTTTCTCCTGAGTTCTGAGGTGGAGAAGAGCAGGTGAGCGAGACTGATGGGGTCTAGAGTGTTAGTTCTCATTTTGTCAGATAACACACAATCTGCTCCCATCAATTTATTACCTGTTCTTTTGCACACTCTGGTATGTTACCGTTAACTATTGGTTCCAAAAACTAAGACGCCACACTAACTATAGATGAGTGATGCAATTCTAGTTTCTAGATCTTCCCATTACCAGGTTTAACTTGCCAACCTTTAATCATTCATAAAATATTTGAGTGCACATTCTGTGTTAGGCATTGAGTAAAGGCCTGGGCACACACCACCAGTACAATGTGGTTGGTATAATCACAGATGGATTTTTTGGACAGCTTGCATGTGTCACCTGTTTTAAACTCAATTTAATCTTTTCAAACAATAGATGAGTGATGTTTCCTTACCTTTACTTTACACATTAGCCTGCAGGGGCTCAGAGAATTTATAGGATTTGATCAAAGGTCCAGTGGTAACTTCAGTCTCAGCTTAGCCCAGCTTAAACCCAGGCTTACCAAAGTCTGCCCCACAGACCTAGGTCATACTTATCAGCCCCTCTGTAGGACTTAAAGGAACTAAAGTTCCCAAATTATTTTCTCTTATCCAATTTTTGTCTAGTGTGCTTTCCAAAGGCACGTGTTTCTCCAGGTGGGGACACTGGTTTCTGGGCCTGCTGTGAGTCACTTGCAGTCATCAAATTTGCTGTTCCTGACAATTCCTTCAAACTATATTCATTGCTGAATGGTACCCCAGATATTGCCTTCAATATAATAGTCATATATTAAAAGATAAAACGTATTTAATGTTTTATGGCCTATCATATAATTTACATGCATGTCTTTAATACTTGAACCCTTGAAAATACCTCAGGAGTATGAATATTAGAGGGTATAGGGCCAATGTGGGTAATGAATGTAAGATTAGAATCCATAGCTTATGGCTTTTCTTTCAACTGTCTCTATAAAATTGAGAGTGAAGGATATTGGGAAGAGAATAAATAGTTGGCAGAAACATGTCTAGACAATAGCTAAAATGATAAATGTTTGCAATACCTTGGAAAGAATATTTGTACTTAGATGAGCTGGTTCCCACCAATTGTTTGAATAAGGCTGTAGCAGTAGCTAGTTGTCTTCAGTGTCCACACCTATAACATGCTCATTTTTAATGTTATAGTGACTGTGTACTTAAATAATGTTCAACAAAGTGTTCTGTGAATTATGTATTACAGCATGAATGTGCTATCAATTTACCCCTCTCCATATTTCAATCCCACAGAAATCACCTTCAGCATTCACTGATCATGTGTTGTAATTTATTTTGTAGTTGTGAAATCATTCATTCAGCAAACATTCAGGGCTCCTCAGCAGCCCTGAACTGGACCTGTGACCTCTGAGAAGTCTCAGGTATGGACCAGGCCCTCAAAGAGCTCACAACACAGAGTAGGCAGGCTGAACAAATGATTCTAAACAGGATGAGAGTGGCCTCATGAGAACTCAGACAAAGCTGTTACTTCACCCTGTAAGGGGATTTGAAATCAGTTCCAGACGGATGAGTTTCTGTTGAACAGTGTGTAACCTATATGAAATCCTTAAGTCATTGTATTATTTGTTATTCCTCAATCATGAACCCTGAAGCTCCTCAGGGGTGGGAGATGCTCTTTATTAGAGTGGGAGGCTGTGATCCTGGACACTTTACATTCTTCTTCATCTGGGACCATCCACTGTACAAACTGCCTACACATTGTACGCTTTCCTTACTCAGAGGGTCTTAGTGCATCTCTCACTTCAGCGTAGCAGAGAACTTTGGTTGAAATCATCAGTCAGATGAATGATGTAATGACATATGGATAAGACAATGTCAACTTTAGAAAACTATGAAAGGTTATTTTTCTAATTTTTAAAAAAGATTTTGTTCTCTTGGGAGACAGGAAGGGAGGGAGAAAGAGAGGGAGAGAAACATTGATGTGAGAAACATTGGCCACTTGCCTCTCGCAAGTACCCCAACCAGGAACCTGGCCCACAAGCCAGGCACATGCCCTGACCAGGAATCAAACCAGCGCTCTTTCGCTTTGCAGGATGACACTCAACTGAGTCACGCTGGCTAGGGTAAAACTATGAACGTTTCAATGAGTTCATAAGTAATTTAGAGAAGCAACTATGGATTAGATTGCACTACCACTGATACTGTGATCTTAGACATATAGTCAAACATTTCTGTATCTCTGAAAGTTGACTTCCCTCATCATGAATGGTGAGTTATAGTATGTACCTCATCGGGTTGTTGTAATGTTTAAGTGAGTTTATTCACATAGAATTCTTAAAGTCTGAAACATGAGAATGAAACAAATGGTGGTTACTATTGTTGCTGTAGTTGTTAACTGTTAAGTCGATGATGAGCCCTGGCTGGTGTGACTCAGTGGATGGAGTGCTGGCCTGCAGAGTGAAAGGTCACCAGTTGCATTCCCGGTCAGGGCACACGCCTGGGTTGGGGACCAGGTCTCCCACTTGGGGCAGTGTGAGAGGCAACCTATACAGGTGTGTCTCGCACATGCTTGTCTCCCTTACTTTCTCCCTCTCCCTCTCTCTAAAAAAAAAATCAGTAAAATGTTTTAAAAAAGATGATAATGGTGGACAATGCATTGAGAAGACAAGGAAAGGAGGGCAGCAGTTCCTAGGATACTCTCTGCATTTCCCTACTCTTACCTGCATTTTTATCCATGAGGAAAATTTTATTGTCAACAGGATTTGGGAAATACTCACCTTCTGGTGTTTACTCTGTTCCCTTCTGAAGGTCACCCAAGAAGATTTCACTGAAAGATGATGAGAAATCAGTGTTTTGGTTGGTAACTGTTTCGAAAATCTGGAGATTCTTTTTAGGGACACACAATTGTAAATGAGAGTAGTGCAAGAACAATCCAAGGATGGTTGGAAAATGTTTTCTGAGGTATCATTAAGGCCTAGACTTCTATTTGGGACATCCACTAATTTCATTAGAATGATAAAAAAAATAGACAAAGTTTCTTCTACACTTCCTCCTATGTTCTTAAAGCATCTATTACATTTATTAAGAAATAAATTGGCCTCTCCTGACAAAAACGTAATAAAAGTAACTGCACAGAAACTCCATGTCTTCAACATAACCCTTTCTCTGCTCTGTTGTCTTCATTCAAACTGGCCTTGTCCAGGCTAACGGCCCTACCAACCCCTCGCCTCCTTTCTCTGGTATCCTCCCCCCTGTGCACATACTGGCCATCCACGCCCTTCCTTATCATTAGACTCTGGTCCGCATCCACTGTCTGATGACCACAGAAACAGAATTCCAGTCAAGTTAAAGATCACAACCTGACTTCAGCTGTGTTTCAACCTGAGACCCATGAAAGTGGACTGACCCCACCAATCAAACACTCATGATATAGGACAGAACGGCACTATAGCTGATATCAGGAAATGATACAGTGATCTGGCACTTCCTACCCTGGCCCTCCCCGCAGCTCCATAATCACCATGTTAATACTGTTCCCTGTCTGTCTCCATGCAGGCCATGTGGCAGCCCCGTATGGGGACACTCCTCACCGTCCAGACCTGCCTCTCCCTCTTGTGATGACAACTCTTCTGAATTAGTTATTTCTTATTCACTTGTATATTCCTATACATTTACTGGTTATTAATGTGTCTATAAATATATAAGATGATTTTGCAGACTTGAAAGTTTATAGGAATAGCCCCTCACTGTACCACACACTGTTCTGCATCCTGCGTGTTTGCTGGACAAGCAAACCCTGCTGCCTGGTTATGTCCTGAGATGCAGCCTGACCTAAACCAGGTTCGTGCCAGGAGGGCAGCTCAGGCTCCTCCTGCCCCTCACCTTGCTGCCTTGGAGTCCATTCTTCATCAGAGTCCTCAGGGTCCTCCTCCTGGAGCTTGGTGGCCTGCCTGGGGTGGTGACACAGGAAAGCTGGTCGCAGGGCTCTGAGACCTGGAAAGAGACAAAACCTTTGTCCGAAAGCAAGGAGCCTGGAGGAGCAAAAAGCACCGGGAAGCCCGTGAGGCCGGCTCGGTTGGGATGGGAGAGTAAAACGAGTTGCTGTGAGCGCTGCACCATCAGCGCCAGCCCTGCTGTGACCGAAGGAGCAAATGCCCCCTGATGGGTGTCCACGCAGGAGGGAGCTGCAGGCGGATGGAGCCGCCTGAGCCAGAGCCAGCCCAGCAGCCTGGCCGGTCCCCTGGGCCCAGCGCCTGCGCGCTACAGAGGCTGGTGAGCACCTGGAAGTTCCTCTTCTCGTTCGGGTACCGGCCTCTCTCCCCGTTCGCGGGGCGCCCAGAGACGGGGACCGAGGGCCTGGACTGGCCGAGCCGCGGGGGCGGGGCCTTTGTTCCCGCCCTTCCCTCCAGGCGCCGCCACTGCACGGACTCCACAGGCCCCCGGGACTGTGGCGGCGCAGGAAACGCGCTTTTCCCGGGGAAGGGCCCGGAGGTGCACCCGGGGGTCGGGAGAAGCCCGCACGAGACGCAGGCGCGTCCCCGGCAGACCCCCGTCTCTCAGGCTGACAGGCTTGGGGTCCCTGAGACCCGATCTTCCCGTCTGAGGACACTGAGGTCTGGGGGGAGGGTCAGACCCTGCGGCTGAGAAGATTTGGGGCGTCTCATGGAGGGGCTTCCGGGTCCCACCACTGAGTCGGTTTCCAGGACGACGGCGTTTAGCGTCTCTGAGTTTGAGGAGATTCGGTCTTTCCGGGCGAGCTGCAGGTTGGGGGCCCCGAGCCGAGGGGAACTGGGGTTTTCGGGCTGTTTGGGGTCTAGGCTTTGGGGGGGTCAGGAGATGTGGGTCCCCCGGGTTGGCGGACGCGGGCCCCTCGATGCTGCAGGGATTGGGGACCCTAGGATGAGGGCATCTGGGGTCTCTCAGGCTGGACTTTGAAGGTCTCGGGCTAAGGGCTCCACGTGGCAGGGCTCCCCGCTTACCGGTCAGTCTCCCGGGGCCTCTGTCGCGCTGCCCACCTCGGACCTGCGTCCTCTCCAAGCTCCTGGGCTGCGAGTGCCTGGGGCGAGATTCTTACCTGGGTAGCCTGTGGGAGCAACCCGCCAATCAGTGCTGCGATCCCGAGCCCTGCCCACCAATGAGCGGTCAGAAGAAGCTGAAAGGGCGGGGAAGGAGGCGGGGCCCCTTGGGTTCGGCGGAAGTCCCGCCCCACCCCTCGGGGATTGGCTGCTCTGTTTCTCCCGAGGGTCTGTCACTCAGCCTGCAGCGGGACTTGCAGTTTTCTATGGCTAGTTTTCCAGAGGCTGGTGAGGGACCCGCTCTGCAGGGGCTGGGATCTCCGAGCCCGGGCCGGTTTTTAGGGCGGACGTGGCCCTCCTGCAGCCTGACAAAGTGTCTTTGTTCCACCAGACTGTGGTCGGGATCCCCAACTTTCCTCTAGGCCCATCCGTGCCCTCTCTCACCAAAGCTACTTTCAGCAAAAGTTGCATAGCCAGTGAGGATGTAGTCAAGACTACACTGCATTCCGTGGAAACTTAAGTCAGAAATTCCGACCACGCAAGTCATACACACAAAATAAGTCCCAGAGGGCTCAAATATTGAAACACAGCAAATGACATAATAAGCATACTGGAAAACACACTGAGAATTTCACCTCTCGAGTAAGTGACTGTTGGAGCCCAAGAGGCCTGTGAGGGGTCGAGGAT